TCTCTATTCAAATAGACCAGGTTTGCTCTCTCTTTAAGAAGATATTTCTCCAAGGAGCAGAATGTAGACGGACTTGCAGACTGAGAAGGGCACTGGGCTCATCAATGAAATGATAAACAAGCATCTCTACTAGGCTCTGTCTGTCTGTCTGTCTTGATGCTGCCAGGATATTGCATAGGTCAGGCCATGGGCTGTCCATGGGGATCACGTGTGGGAGGAGTTCCTGATGGGAGGAGAAGGCCATTCCCACAAAGGCTGAAGGCTGATGGCCACTGGCCAGAGAGCTGATGGATGGAAGTGAGGGCAGTATTGAGGCAGGAGGACAGAGGGCTTTCAGAGTTCAGAGATGTTTGGAGTTGGGGAGTTGGAAGTCTCAGAGCTCAATCCAGAAGGCTGAGGTCGGCAAAGGTTGTTTATCTTTGTATGTCTGGTAGTATGGGAGGAGAGGATGCTTAGTTTAGGTGCTTAGTGTATCTCAAGAATTCAGGGAAAAAGTGAGAGGTGGGCCACCTGAGTAGCTCAGTTGGTTGAGCATTCCACTCTTGATTTTGGCTCAAACCACGATCTCAGGGTCATGAGATTGGGCCCCGTGTTGGGCTCCATACTCACTGTGGAGTCAACTTGAGACTCTCTCCCTCCTTCTGTCTCTGCACCTCTCCCAGCTTGCTCTGTCTCTCTCTCTCAAATAAGTAAATAAATCTTAAAAAAAAAAAAAAAGTTGAGAGGATTTCAAGGTTTGGACAGAGCACTTTCAACTCTTTCTGTCTCTCCATCCCCTTGCTGACCTGTAACTATTTCCCTCTGATAAGTGGCCATCACCAGCTATACATGCCTGGATTAGGAAGAGTTGAGTTTGAAAGGATCCCTACTTCCCATTTAATCATACAGTCAATTATCTTCCTGAGAGACATGAAATACCATGGTGTGTTTGAGGAGTCATTTTGCAGAACTATGTTGAGGGCCATCTCTGCGAAACAGGGAGCCTGTTGATGGAATTTCCTACCCCAATCTTCTCTTGACTCCCCAACAACCAGGGCATTCTGAGGGAGCAGTTGTGCTTGCTTTTACCTTTTTTTTTTTTTTTTTAAACTGGGGAGAATTGTCTCCTCTGCATTGTTGTGGAGACTCAATAAATGAGACAGATAGATGGGGACAGGTATGAGAAGGTGACAGTAGTTGGCTGCCAAGTTACTTTTGTGATCCATCTCTGCAGAAGCCGGCAGTAATGCCGGGGAGACTCAGCAAGACTGATATCCAGCAGTGACAGTTTGGACATCTAAACAGGACCTTGGATGTGCCCAAAACCACAGCTGAAGCTATGCCAGCTTTTCAGTGTAGTATATCACAGGGGCCGCATAACCGTGCTGGAAATTGGCTGCGTTTGGAGCATTAGCGTATCTGCAAATGAACATCTCTGGCCCTGGAAGCGCGGTGTAGAGCAGTGAGACAACGTCGTCGCTGTCAGTTTCCAATAATTAGGCACTCCCAGGAAGCCCAGGACCGTCCTCTCGGATTCGTCGGGAGGCTGAGATGCCCCCACTGTGGGCATCAGAAACAATTATCCAAGCCATGTAGAGGTTGTTGATCAGAATTTCCTATGCCACAACTGGCCATTCACCTGGTGTCTGGTTCCATTTTAGCTGCTGGAGGAGCAAATAGCTGGGGCTCAGCTCTGGCTTCCCAGAACTTATTGGTTACAAGGAAGTTCTCTCCCGTAAAGTCATGGAAAACTATTTCAAACAAGGGTCATTTCCTAGTGCCCACTCACTCTGCAGCCCTCATTTCATCAGAAACCAGATGTCTAAATTAGTGGATTTCAAAATGTGGTCTCCAGACCAGGGAGGGGCCAGCAATCCATACTTTATCAGGGCTTCCAGGTAATTCTGACACACCCTGAATTTAAATGTTGGAGGGCATTTGGGAGGGTTTATAAGGACCTTGAAGAACACTGAATTGGAAACAAAATAAAATAAAACTGGGCCTGAATCCTGACTCTGCAACTTAATACCACAGCGATTCTGATCAATTCAAGTATTCTTTCAATTTGGATATTTTTTAAACGTGGCTTAACCCCATCTGTACGCTGGCATTAATAAGTGAACCCACCACATATTTGAGATATAGTCTATGTAATAGGCTTGTGTTGTACCAAGCATACAAGAAGATGTGTTCAATAAATATTAGTCATGAATATGAATTTCACAGTTTCTCTGCTTGGGTCGAAACAAAATTTATTTTTCCAAGGATTTATTTATTGATTTTAGAGGAGAGCGGGGAGAGAAGGAGTGCAGGAGAGCTAGGAGGGGCCAAAGAGAGGGAGAGAGAATCTTAAGCAGGCTCTGAGCAGAGCCTGACATGGGGCTCGATCTCAGGACCCTGAGATCATATCCTGAGTTGAAATCAAGAGTGGGATGCTCAGCTGACTGAGCCATCCAGGAGTTGCCAAGTGCAATTTAGAGCAGGGGCTATCCTTAAGGTAATTAAGAAAATAACATCTCAGGTGTGTTACTAGTAAAATATGCTGGGGAGTGTGTTGTTCTTCAGGAATTTCAAACCACTCTGGTTCCAAGTCCACACCCAGGTAAGGCAGCCTGCGATGACAAACATCATGGAAGTCTGTGAGGAACCTAAGAGAAGGGATGGCATCACGTGCTTCCTCTGTTGGCTGTACTTCTCTACCTCTCATTCACTCTGACAGCCTTCTGGGTATAGTCATCAAAGCCAGAGGCAGTCTTGAAATGTGTTCTAGACCAGCCCAAACTTCACGTGTATTCTAGTTATCTAGAGATCTTATTAAAATGAATATTCTAATTCATTGCATATGAGGTAGGGCCAGAGTTTCCGCATTTCTACCAGGCTCCCATGGGATGGTGATCTGCTGGTTTTCTGACCACACTTCTACATGGTGAGCTGCTAGCTCAGTGCTTCCCCACCCTAATGTTCATATGTTTCACACTCAAGATTTGTGCTACCTAAGGAATGGTCTAGAGCCAGTAGCACTGGCATCACTTGAAAGCTTACTGAAAGTGCAGACTCTCAGGACCCACGCCAGACCTATCAAATCATGACATGCATTGTACTAAGATTCCCAAGAATCACTGTAAGCACAATAAAGTCCAAGATCTACTCAGGTGTTATTCACACAGACTCTGCACTCAGAAGGACCCTGCACATGGTTAAGTGCTCTGCTCTCAGTATCTTGAAATGAGCTCTGCCTTTTCATTTTATACTGAGCCCCCCAAATTATGTAGCTGATCTCAGACACACAACTCTGTGCCAGTGTTTTTCAAACTTTGATAGGTCTATGACTCAACTGGGGTATTGTTAGAAATTCGTATTTCCGGATACCCAAAGACTGAATCAGTAGGATAGGAGGTGAGACTAAAACCCCTGTAACAAACCCTTCATGCGATTCTGATGCAAGTGGCCCATTCCCTTGATCTTTTCCTAGTGAAGTCATTTCCATCCCGCATTGTCCGGGAAACACAATGAATAGCACAGAACTTGCTGGACACCAGAGCAAAGGTGTTTCTGGTGGAGCAGCGTTCCCTACAGGCATTCTCAGCAAGGCTCCCCACGTGTGCCTGAGTGGCCCTGCAGTGATCCTGTGACATTTACAGAAGTATAAGCGGAAAGAAACTGCAGTACAGGAAATCTCATCTCAAGAGGGACCACCCGGGGAAGCTGGTGTGCTCAGCAGCAGGTCTTAGGTTTTTTATGGTCACAGACCATTTTGAGAATTCAGCAGGGACAGGTGTCCCTCCCCAGTGAAAATTCTCCCTTTGCACATTCTGAGGAGCACACAGGTCCAGGAATCAGCCAGATGTCCTGGCTGAGATGTCTGTCACTTCCCAGCTCTCTAACCTGGCCTATTCCTCAGACCATTCCAAATGGTGGAGTTCTGATCTTTAAAGTGGAGAATGGGTAAGATAATCTACTTCACAGATTGGCTGCAAGAATCAAAAGAAACGGTGTGGATATAAAAGTATTTTGTACACTGCAAAAGAATATATAAATTTGAGGTATCATTATACATACTGAGCTACATTGCTATTTCCAGCATTGTAGTTAGGATCAGGACACTGTGTTTGTGAATTTCCCCTAAGGCCATAGAACATACTTGGTGTACTGAGAGAGGGAAATGAATACAGACAGAGAGATGTGATTAGGACTTGGCGAGAGAAGCTGGGAGATTTGAAAATGTAAGGAAAGAGAAGGGAGCTTCCACAATTTGGGGACTCCAGATGCAAAAATAAAAAAGACGAAATCTATTTTTATACGTGCAAACAGTTTTGAGATTTTGGAAAATGCCTTTAGTCTCGCAGTAATTGAACATTTCTGCCCCTGGGTATAATGAAGATAAATAGCAATGGTGGTGGTCCATATTTAGTTTTGACTTCAGAAGCCTTCTGTTAGAATCCGCTATTCTGAGATAATGTTTAGTAGTTAAAATCTGGGTCTCTCTGATCTAGCACATATTATCTCCGTGGCTTGGGAGAAATATTTAGTTTCTTTGTTCTTCTGTTCCTTTTACCAACAGAACCTTGCTCATAGGGTTGTTATAAGTACTGGATGACTTAGTACTCCCAAAATACCTACAGCATGGGAATCCTTGTGCAAAGGGAGAGCTGATGGTTCCCCGAAGGTCTAGCCATTCTGGGTATGGAAGATGCCTCCAATTGTAACTACCAAATAGTTATGACTAGGGAATTTGCTCAGCTGGTTTTCAGTGCTCAGTGCTGAACTTCTCAGGACCCAGAAGACTCAGACAGCCAGTGCTCTGAGGCTATAATCGCGCAAGATCTCTGCTGCCCATTTCCAGAAAGTGCCACTCGTAACAATAAGACAGGGAATGTTGTGTGTGTATACTGGGGGTAGGGGTGGACGGATGAAGACAGGGCATGGTGAAAAGTCATCCTAGCATTGCTAAGAAGACCTGACTCTGATTGCCCCCACTTCCTTTCCGGTGCCTGGACTCACCCGTCTGTTTTTCCCTCCAGGTGCACAATTGATAACCGGGTCACCCGGGTGGCCTGGCTAAACCGTAGCACCATCCTCTACGCTGGGAATGACAAATGGTGCCTAGACCCACGTGTGGTCCTCCTGAGCAACACCCAAACCCAGTACAGCATCGAGATCCAGAACGTGGATGTATATGACGAGGGCCCATATACCTGCTCTGTGCAGACAGACAACCACCCAAAGACCTCCAGGGTCCACCTCATTGTGCAAGGTAGGCGGGGTTTGGCTGGACAGTCTGGGCAGTGGCTGGGAGAACCCATGTCCAACACTTTTTCTGTGATCCGCAGCAGAGATGAGTTCTGTTTGTTCCATCTGGACAGGACAACAGGACAACTAATTGTCATTCGGCCATTTGAAGCTGAATTTTGACATAAGTTTTCCTGTTGAATAGAACTAGGATTTTCTTTTTTGTTTTTGTTCTAATAATATATTTTCTCAGAAAATTATCTTCTAATTATTGCTTTCCTTGGCTTTTTTCTCTTTAGATTTTTTTTTTTAAGGTTCTATCCAGTTCTAAGCTTGCTTTATTTTAAGATCTGTGTTTTAGCTCTTCTGGCACTACACACACGCCATATCCTCCCACAGGCTTCAAAGAAAGCAGAGCCCGTCACAGATGCTCTAAACGCCCACCTGGGACACGCCCTTAACAGCCACCCCCACTATCTCCTGCTTGCTCGGGTCTCTCATCTCTCAGCCCTGGGTTTCTCCCTTTTAATAACCTGTGTCTGATTCTCCATGTTTGCTGGCACCCTGGGTTCCTGCCCCCTCTTTCTGCACCCCTCACCCCCAGCTTTTGAGGCCTATGTACTGGGTTTGGTTTTGTATCTCCCTGGGTTCTGCCCTCTCCCTGTTTCTCAGGCCCTGGGTGTGGTGCTCTCCTGTTCCCCACAAAGAAGAACTGGCCCCAGGAGATTCACATAATGCTTTACCATGGTGGACATAGGGCCAGAATGAGACTTGGTCGCTTTCGGGCTGTGAGACCTGAATCAACTTACTGACTAGGCTTCAGGGTTTCCTTCTGTAAAACAGAGTCACTGATGTGATGAGCTTGCTAAATTTTATCTGATACTTAGAAGTGGGTCTGGCACCTATAGAGCTGTATACATGTTAACCACCGATATTTTTTAAAATACTGATACTATTTTTTAAAATTCTTTTACAGTGGACCACTAGCTCATTTTATTATCTCAGAAGCTTGGGCTCAGAGTAGTGGAGCCTGCCTTTTCTGCTGGGGTCTATTTCCCAGCCTGATCCCTAGTTCCCTTCATCCAGCTGATGGGCATCTAGGGCCAGAAGCTCCTCCAGCAGGGGCTCCTTCAGCCACCACTCCTCGTCAGGGCACCCAAAGAAAGGGGAAGGGATTGTCAGATGCTTGGCTAGAGAAACAAGGGCAGGAAAGTGTCTGGAGAAGGAAGAATGCAAAGGAGCTGGAGGAATTCTGGAACGTGAGCTGGGAGAAGGGAAGAGAATGTACATCCCAGGTTTGGACATGTGCTGGGGAAAGGCAGGCAAGGTGTGTGGGGATGAGACTCAGCACAGCAAGAGAACTGTGGCCTTGGCTCTAAGCAGGGACCACAGGGACGTCTGTGCCCCTCAGTGCTGGGCCAGAGCTTGGCCACACCGTGTGGTTCTTATTTCTTTTTCTCACTCCTCTGAATGGAAATTATGACTTTTCCTATTAATTCATTCTATAAATGAACATTTTTCAAACTGCTGGATGCAAACAAAATTTTTTAAAGGAGATGAAATTGCATGGAAGGTATCACCATATTACAAACAGCAGAATAAGTATCATTCTCTAAGACTTTTGTTTCAGGGTGTGTATGTTTTATATGTAAAATACATTTTTTGGGGGGTTTGGGTGGCTTGGTCAGTTAAGCTTCCTACTCTCGATCTCAGCTCAGGTCTTGATCTCAGCGTCGTGAGTTCAAGCCCCTCCTTGGGCTCCATGCTAAGCATGGGGCCTACTTAAAAAAATTAAAAAATCAATCAATTGGTCAATACCTTTTTTTTTTTTTGTCAATACCTTTTTTATGATGGATAGTTGACTGAAACATAATTTGAGGACCACATCTGATAAGGAGGTCTGGCGACCCTTCCAGTGGCACCATCTGTATTCTCTACGAGGGGGTGCTTCTGAAGCCATCCCCCATACTCCCTTCACGCCTTGACCTGCACACACTTACTATTGAGAGCACAATACCCTGCACTGACAAAGAAAAGTTAACAAACACACACTAATACGACATTCACTTTAGCAAGCAGGAACTTTCTGGAACTGGAATATGGAAGAAATAGTGGAAAATGCTGAAACTTCCCTGAAAATAAGGACCATGTTTTTGTCTTTTTTTTTTTCTTTAAGCCCTCCCCTCCCAACACACACCTACACACCCACACATTCCTGCCCTAAGTGCCTGATCCAAAGTGCACATTTAATAAATGCTTATTGAAGCAAATGGCTGGAATTATAGTCCAGAGGTCTTACACAGCCTCCAGAGGGGAAGCGGAGTGCATGTGGGAGTAGCGCGGCGAGGAGGTCTACATCAATCTTCGCTCATGTCCAAGCTAATGGAAAATGTCTAATCCCCAGCTAGGTGTTTACATCTGTGACTTGGCTAGGTGGCCTCTTAGCATGACTCGCCACCTCAAGTATTGGAATCTCATCTTGGGCTAATTTTCGAATGCTGATGGGTGTATTGATCTGGAAACAAGCTAGGTTAAAAAAGGCACTGGTCTTGTACACAGACTCAGCCCAAGCTAATCCACTGTCGATATGCCTGGGCTGAGCATTATTGACACTTTAATGAATAGTGGACCATAGTTTTTCAGAGCCAACCTGTCCCCCTTCTTAAAAGCAATCAGACAAACTAAATAGAGCTAGACTCCCCCATCTCTGTATTGGAAAGAGGATACATCGCCATCCAGCATTTAAAAAAAAAGAATATATTTATCTTGGGATCATTTATTATACTGAACATAAACCCTAATTCCCCTAGCAGGAGCTGACTGTCTGGATTTTTGTTGAAGTTGCTATTCAACCCTGAACACAATGCTGCTGGAATGAAAGTCAGACATACTAAGTTTTCAAAATGGCATTACAGTCAATAAATACTCACAGACATATACTCACACTGCACGTACACACACACACACACACACACAATAGCAGCAGCAGAAAGAACTAAACCGACTGTCTGCCTCCGAGTATGTGTATTTATATATATATATATGTGGTCAGCTTCACATACAAATAAACCTACGCAGAAGGAAGGTAATCACACTTCCATAGTATCCCGTGAGCTGCTTCAGGGAGAGACTATCTTTCCTCTTGTTAGCAACCTACCCTTTGTCCCCACCAGTTCTTTGTTCTGGGTCTTCTCCATGGTGTGACTGAGGATGTTTAGTTCTCGCGGGCAGCTGGGATGCCGCCTCTGCAGATGTCTGAGAGTCAGACCTTCGGTCCTTTGTGCATGCCCTTGGTACGCCTTCCTTCCTCCGTAGGGGTTATAATTGCTGGCAAACAACTCTGGCTACGGTACTTTGGCCAATCGCTTAGCACATGGAGATGAGTAAAAAGCCGCCTTCAAAGAATCCATTCCCATTTGTGTGGAGATGGACGTCTATAATGTTCGTCCAAGTCATGACCAAGAAGTCATTTTCTGCAAGTATAGCTACTGTTGGCTGAATCCTTCTAGGGCACCCACCAGGAAAAACCAGCAATATGGGTCCCCTTACCTGCATGCCCTTTGATTATACATTTTAACAGATTCAGAAATGACTTGACAGTAATTAGGCTGGTCTTTTTATGTGGCAGTGCTTCTGAGCATGGGTCTGTCCCCGAGCTCAAGCCCAGGATGAAGGGCTAGGGGTCTTTCCTTGGTTCATGGTTTCCAGAGCTTCTGCTATACACATCATCTCCTGTCCTTCCAATCCTCAGGACAATCTTTCACTGGTGGTAAGTTCTAGATGTGCTTTTTTTTTTTTTTTTTTGGCGTTATCTCTGGGGCTACCTAAATTCTCCTAAATCTTCCCCAGGCTGATGGGGGTGGGACCGGTTTCCGAAGGTCCTGACAGGGCTGGTGATGTGGCTAGAACGTAGACTGTGTTGGCCTAGCCTGGGCTGTAGAGGAGTGTTCCTGCAGTGGGCACTGTAGGGGCTGGAGGAGCAGCTAGTAAGTGAAACCATGGGGAGTACCGGGTGAAGTAAGTGTGAGTGTCAAACCACAGAGATCTCAGTCTCTGTGGCCCAGAATGTTAGACCTGCCTGCCAGAAGAAGGTGACAGTTTTTCTGATTTGTGTTGTTCAGGGTCAACATAGAGGGAAGAGCGGGCTTCTGGCTACAGGCACTGAACCCAGGTGATCACATGGAGTGAGTCTTCCAGATAAGCCAGGAATAAGGGACAGCTTTAAAGAAGAGATCGGCTCTGGGGGCAGTGTGGGAAGAGGAAGAGGGAAAAGGCAGCAGCAGGGGCTGGTGGTGGCAAGGCGGAGGGGACAAGAGAACTGAGTGAGGTACCTACTCACCACAATGGCTATTGAAAATGAGCTAAAACCAAATAAAATTTAAAATGTACTTCCTCAGTTGCACTAGCCGCATGCTTCTGTAGCCGTGTGTGATCAGTGGCTACTCTATTAGCCAGAGAGAAATAGAATATTCTCTTGTCTTAGAAAGTTCTTTTGGGGGATGCCTGGGTGGCTCAGTTGTTAAGCGTCTGCCTTCAGCTCAAGTCATGATCCCAGGGTCCTGGGGTTGAGTCTCGCATTGGGTTCCCTGCTCTGTGAGGAGCCTGCTTCTCCCTCTCCCACTCCCTCTGCTGTGTTCCCTCTCTCGCTGTGTCTCTTGTTGTCAAATAAATAAATAAATAAATAAAATCTAAGAAAGAAAGAAAGAAAGAAAGAAAGAAAGAAAGAAAGAAAGAAAGAAAGAAAGAAAGGAGGAAAGAAAGGAGGAAAGAAAGGAGGAAAGAAAGTAAGTTGTTTTGGGCAATGGGCCAGTACATGTGAAAGCAAAAATGGGTTTCATTAATGTAAAGGGTCAGGTGTGGTTTGGAAAAGAGAATGGGGTTTTGGAGACAAGACAGAAATAAGAAAAGATGGAGGTCTTTTAAAGACAAGAGAAGGGTACTACAAAGGTGGAGGACTGGAGTTTTTCTGTTAGCTAAGGCAGAGAAGAAAAACCAGAGTCTGAAGTTGTATCCAAAGGAAAATAG